GCACATTAAGCATCTGTTCGTCAACTTCCTGAAGCAACCACGGGACTAATCATTTCTAAGAAAATCTTATCGCAATTAGTTTGGTGGCTTAAATAGCAGTTCTTTCATCTTTTCCTTATTGCCCATCGATGCAACTGGCAACTTTTCCATTCTGTTCGCCTACATATAACTTCATCGTGAGCGCTCGAATGTATAATTCCAGTTCGCTAAATCTGCGAACGAAACCAGTTTTGCAAAGGGTAAGGTTCTGAAGAAAGTCGAACCTCTAATTTGCAGTATTTCCGTCTTCTTCGAATTGTGACGTGTTATCCGTTACATTTTCGGCTCATAACTTTTGCAAAAGGGGCCCTCAATCAGCAAGTGCTCTTTCATTGTTCATTTAGCATTGTGTGGGTACCAGTCAGTAAACTTTTTACTTATTTTTTAACCGCATACTTTCTTGTAATCCTACCTTAGTTAACGAACTTAAAGTCTGAAAAGCATTAGTCGACTGTTCTTTATTACGGAACAAAAAAGTTAACCTTCATTGACATCCTTCCACGAAAGATGGCCGCTACGGTAAGGTATCGGCCATGTCGTGGATCACAAGCAGCCATCATATTTTTGGCATCAAACATTTGCTGCGTTAATTCAGACACCGTTGACGATCGATACTGCTGGCTACCACGTGACGTGAGTGGCGCGAAACCAGGCATAAAAAAGTGCAAGCGTGGAAATGGTACCATATTTACTGCTAGCTTTCGCAAGTCTGCATTCAGCTGAAACGCATCGTCTGTTTAGTTTAATTGGAGAACTAAAATAGTATATTTTAAAAAATCAAAACCCCCTTCGCAGTCACACTCTGCGAGAGACGAAAGCACTCGAAATAGCCACTGAGGCAGTAGGCGTCAACACCAAACACTCAGCTAAAAATTAAAATGCTTTGAACAAAATGGAATCTTTTTATATCTGAGATTGTGCTGAAATTGTTTACTTGCAAATAAAAATTTAGTAAAGATGTGTAAACTCTACCAGGAGAGCTAAAAAAAAATTAGCTAAGAGGGATACAAAACAACTGGGACTTAACAAACTATATCAGTGAAAAACTGGGCCTGAACATTAGATATGAGCGTTAGTATTGCTGGAGTATGAATTATGGTATAGGGTCCCTGATTTTATAAAAATGTTGCAGTCGAACGTAACAATAGCCGTATTGTACTTAAGAAAAGATCAGTGATCATTCTGAGAATTGGTAATTGCACTTGGTGAAGACGGCAAGGCAAACTGCAGCTCAAAAGAAGCTCTAGAAGAGCTGTAGTCTGTGTAGATGCATTTCATTATTATCATCAAAGCTACACACACAATAATATTTCAGGATATTTGGGCAGAAATAAAACTTTGAAAAAAAAACCTGGCCAGGAAATCGAAGACACGTTGTTACACCGGACATTGTCAATGAAACCAGATGATTGAGATCTCCGTACGTTGGCGTTGTTAATTTCAGCGTCCTAAGATTTGTGTTGGAAAAGTGCATATTGTTAAAAAAGTATTGGCAAAGGAATACTTCACAAAAACTACGTTCAATACGTGACTGATAACTCCAGCTTGAAATTTGTTCTAACATTTTATGAAACGATATAAATTTGTGCCGTAACCGTTGTACTAACGAGGTCCAGTAGCAGTGCTGAAATAAGACATATGCAGCTTGATGATCCGACACGCTCTTATACCAGCTGATACTATCATAAATATAAATATTTGCATAAATGTTTTCTTCTTCTCTGCATTCATGTTTCTACTTCTGTACTTTACTTTTGTCTTACTTTCATTTGTATTTAATTATTGGTGGTGAAAAAAGAAATCTAGATTTTCTTGAGATTTTAAAAAAAAAGAAATACCGGAAACAAATGTCGTATAATGCCTCATTGTCGATGCAAAATGTTTCGTCTGTATTTTCAACTAGCTGATGAACTGATAAAGTCGCATTGTACGGTTCAACCACAGTATCAGAAACCTAAAACTTCGTTGCTCGCTTCGGATGGATCTTTGTTTTCGCATGTAAGGTTGGAAAAAATCCAATAAATATCCCAGATTTCAGAGTAACGCTGGCATCCTCAAGAAAGAATGCTGTTTTCATGTTTAGAACATTAGGTATAGAAAATGGTGTGCGGTACCACATAATTCATTAGTGAAATCGAAGCTCCATTCTAATAACCTGTAATCCGTTTTTATCAAATCCAGGAGGGCATCAGAACATCTAAAAAACGAAAAAAAAAACCTTTGGAGACGGAACGACTGAAAATGTGTTTACGATTCGATCCGGATATTCTTCTCTGATTTTGGCTATCAGTAAAGTTCCCATACCAGATCCGGTGCCGCCGCCGAGCGAATGTGTCATTTGAAACCCCTAGAAAACAAAAATTGCGGTACGCTAGCCGAAACTATTAGCCAATCGCTTCTAAAAATGTTAATTTGGTACTTTGGTTGGTTTCGTACGGTTTACCTGAAGACAGTCACAGTTTTCGGCTTCTTTACGCACAACATCTAGAACATTGTCCATTAGCTCAGCACCTTCCGTGTAATGCCCTTTCGCCCAACAATTGCCTGCTCCGCTCTGTCCTGTAACGGCACTCCAGTTGAACCTCATTTTCATAAAATCAAAACCCTTCCTTATCTGCATTCTGTGGGAAGCAAAGGTACTTCGGAAAATTGTCCGACTGACAACGCGTGCAGCAGCAACCACTCATTGGTGATGTTGCCAATGACACCTTTTTTCCAGAATTGCTAGAAGCACGCTGACCGAGGGGATCTTGGGGTTTTACAAGCAATTTATCCGTACTTTTCCATTCTTTACACATTTTTCCATTATACCAGCACTCGCTAAAAATCAAGCTTTTTGCTAGCCGTTTTGAGAAAAGCATAATTGCTCCAAACCGAAACATAATTTTAGTACTAAAATTTTGTCAATTTTAATAGGAAGGAAAAAAATGATAAATGAAAGAAAACAAACCAAATACAAAATTGTCGGGCCTGAAGAGTTGTCCGAATGGTCCAGAACGAACTGAATCCATAGTACCGGGTTCCAGATCGACCAAACAAGCACGTGGTACGTATTTGCCACCTTAGTTTAAAAAAAATTACAAATCGCCGCAGTATTCAGCTCTAAATCTCATCAATTTTTGAATTAATACCACTGGCTTCATTATAATAGACACTGATGCGTTCCAGTTGTAAGTCCGAATCACCATTATAGGCTCCTGTTGGATCAATTCCATGCTCATCCGATATAACTTCCCAAAACTGCAACAGTCGCTTTTGTACAGATGAAAAGCAATAAATTAGAAAAGAAAAATGCGTTAATCATATATTTCTCAAATCGCTCCGACTGACAGCACTTTGCAACAGCTGATAAAGTTGACGATGGTTTTTTACGATCGCGATTTGTTTGACTTTTCCTGTGTTTTACACATACCGAGAGAACCGTACATTGTTCTACCGATTTCAAAAACCCGTGATTCGTGAGTTCGTTCCTCGACAGCCATTACAATGTGCTTTCACATCGTAAGGTTCAGGCTATTACAAATTGTATCCGTTAGTCACTTAGGATTTTTCAGTAACCTCTCGCTTTCCCATTACCGATTCATCGTTGTAAAGCTGGCCGATGATCGTATAACAGGAAATGGGTGGGTGCTGGGTTTCATTCTAATTTCTCGCCTTCGTATTTTTGACCTGTACTTTGCGTTTGTTCATGGCTTCTTAACCTTCACTGATTTTTCCTCTCAGACTCAAGCTTATTAAAGTAAAATATAATCCACTGCCTTCCGGACATGCTTCAAGATTTCAAAGTTGAAACACAGTCGTATTTCGAAATTTTTTAATCGGTTTTCACTCCCGCATCACAATAAAGTGCCTCGGCTGAAGCTTTTTTTGGAAGAAGCAAATATTCTTGATAAATAAATATGCTTTTATTTTCGCATAAGTGGAATTAAAACATTTGCGATTGTTAAATATAAGTCAAAAGAATTATAAATTAATTATAAATCAGATAAATATAATATTAAATATAAATATTAAGACAATCCAATATAAAAACAACGATATTAATACAATTAAATACAAATACAAATCAAAACAGTATAAAATATAAATCAATTGTTAAATTAAAACAAAGAATATACCTTTGCACCGATTTGATTACCACACTGACCGGCCTGGATGTGTACAATTTCCCTCATTTTCAACAATCACTTCTCGAGCCTGCAAAGTATTTAAAGAATTTCAAGCGAATCATAAATCGAAGAAGCGAGAAACACCGAAAATACATCAAAAACATTGCTGAAGAAATCTAAAACTAGCCGCGCTTTCTCTATTACTCTGTTATGGACAAATCTACAAATACTCTCGATTAGGCAGCGATTCTCTTTAAGGCATGGGGAGCATTATCACTGTGACCAGCATCAAAATGAAGACATTGGCTGAATCCAGAAAAAGTTTGCACACTTATATATTGATCCTGAGAGTAGCAATTAGAATTATGACAAGTGAGTGCGACATGCAAATGCCGATAAAGGATGAAAGATGATGGTGATGACGGTAGTCTGAGATTAAGTAGAGCTGATTCGACCACTGGGATAACCAATTTCTCCATGATTTGTTCATTTGTTTTGATGAAAAACTGATACGAGTGCATATTAAGGAGCCATTAGCTTGCTTCTAAGCAACCTTCTAAAGAGGGTGTCGTCAACATCCTTGCTAACTGATAGCTTCTGTTGGCACGTGTTGTAGCAGTCGCATCCGGATTGCCTCTATTTCTTATGCATGTGTTAAATTAGGAAGTAATTTGCAACTGATTGTAACGGATGTAGTGATAAATTGTTAGCCTATGTTATTAAGCGAAATTAAGAAAGCATCAGCAATAAATGGAAACTGCATAAAGCAGATGTTACTAAACGAACAAAAAATAATTACTATCAGTAATGGCAAAAATAATAATAATAGAAATAAGTTATGGTACTAATGAAAATAATAATAATAATGGTAAAAATAATGATAAAGACACAAATAATAATAAAACAATAGTAGAGTAAAGAAAAGAAAAGTAAAATCATATAAAAATTTTAACCATTGGATCCTAGCGTCTATATCTATCTACAAGTAATGATTTCGTAAAAACATCGAATTTGAGGGCTGTGCTTTGTTGAAAGTTAGGCATTTCTTATGAATTATCAACAAGTTGTGCCTCGATATTACTGAGGAGCAACTTCGGGCCATGTGCAGCTAAGCCAAGGATTTGCTTGGCTGGTTTTTTACCTGATGCCAATTAATCAAAGAGAGTGGAAACTACTGGCATGCGACAATCATTATTGGCCACGTGGAGTACCACTTATCTAATTATAATCGCCAATATCACATTATCAAAATATCATATGGTTGCAGCTATCAAAAAGGAATTATCCACACTGGCAGTACTAGCAAAACAACTCCTGCCCTCGACCAGCCTTTCAAAATGTACAATAAACATGCCTAGTTATTTATAACACTACAATTGCTTCATAAACGCATACTTA